GTGAATGGGTGGATGACTGGATATGTAAAGCGCTTTGGGGTCCTTAGGGACTAGTAAAGCACTATATAAATACAGGCCATTTACAGGTGAATCAAACGCACTGAGATACAGTGTGGGCATCACAAGCCTTATAAGGTTATTAGTTCTTATATATATATGTATAGATTTTTTTATTTTATTTTACGAGAAAAGAAATACATAATTTTTGTGTCCCACCTGGCACAGCATTTCCCTCCACGGCGGCAAGCGAAGAGGAAGACAGAGATGAATGTCAGTGTTCCTACCAAGAAGATGGAGAGGATCACCAGGAGGAGCACATAACCATCCTGCTGCTCCTCAACCTCGAGTGGGATCTCCTGAGTCTAAAAAGAGGGAGCAACATGTTGCAAATTAGAGAAGTGAAGTTTCCTGTGTTGCCAGAGTAGGCACTGAAACACTCACTGATGATTAACGCTGTGTCGTTCTGGGCTGATAGACAGAGGTACAAAGGAGAAAAAAAAAAATCACACCTCCACTCTTCTCACTATGATTTTTCGCCTTTTATTTTTACTCTTGCTAAAATAAAGTCATACGTATCATGCCCGATGGCAGAAATTGCACCAAATATGCAACGCCATGCAGAAGTGTGCACCGTGCGGGTTTACTTTGAACGATTTACAGTCTTTTGGTTTGAAACGTTGAAACATGAAAAGCCTGACACCTCAGTAGTAGGCTAGACTTGCAGGCGTTTTACGTTCACAGTCGCACCGTGGAGTTCACGGGATTGATTTAGTCCTGCTGCTCGGTTGGTCTGCATAAAGTAAATCTATAAATACGACAGTGCAATGAATCAATACATGCCAGGGCTATTAACCTGTCTACAGTGTACCTTTAGCTATGGGAGAGCTCTCACAGCAAGGACTGCAGCTGAGTGAATTAAGCGTACATTAGGAGACACGTTGCTGACGTTAAATTTGACTTTTTTCCTTCTGTTTTAAAAGCAAAAACGTGTTCCCGTCGTAAGTTTGATTTGGCTCGTGTCAGCTGCATAACGGTACTTTAAAGTATTTTAATAAAGTGATTGATGACAAAATGATACAAGGATAATAGACTTGATTTGAGAAACATGATGAATAGGTGGAGTATTGTTCTGAGCTCTGCGATGGAGAACACTCTGCAAGTGTTAATGAGCATTAGACTCTGACGTCACACTGTCATTTCTCTGCAAGGGGAAATCAAAGCTGAGATTAGATCAGAGATTTAATTATTTCAGGTCCAGGTCAGGATGTTCTCCATTAGCCGGTCATCCAGCCAGAAGAGAATATGGGGGGAAAGTATGGTTCTGGTGCTGGGCGTCTCACAGACACACACACACACATGCAGGACATACAGGAAGTTTGAGAATAAGCCATTGGTGAAAGGCAGACTTACTGTGGAGTTTTCTGGTAGGCTGTTCCAGACGGTAGACTCATTGCTCATGGTCCAGGCCAACTAGAGAGTCCCCCTGAGAGATAACACATGCACACAAACACACACAAATACACAAAGGAAATGACTGTAACTGGAGATGTGCATCAAATCACAAAGTCAGCCTCCAAATGTGCTGCATTCTATCTGTGTCAATAAATCCAGAAATACTGAGGATATAAGCCTAAAACAGCCATGCAGGCTGATGTGTAATAACATGGAAATTATTGTAATGTGTAATCTGTGTGACAGCAAATAACAATCTTTTCAAAACAGTCATGAAAGACTGGAAGAAGAGGAAGAAACCAAATGGGTACGTTGTTCTTGCACGCATGCGTCGAGACCGACAGAACATGTAAGCTTTAGCATCTTGGCTGTTAATCATCACCCATAATTCCATATCAGTCCAAAGACTCCATCTACCTCCCCCACACACAGACACACACACACAGGGAACAGAGAGAAACAGCAACTCTTACTAAATACTGGCTCCCGCAGCTGAGTTCCACTACCGCTGCTGGCTCTTGCTCTTACAGATCACAGCCATTAATTCTGCTACTGCTGCACCAGACGCCCACGCATACGCACATACACTAACCCTGGATGGATCTACTCACCCAGCAAGGGAGAAGCAACATGCCAGCAGCAATCAGCACGCCTTGCTCGCCTGCCAGTCACTGCGGTGCTCAACTTCAGCACCACAACCTGTAAGCTATAGCCGAGCTCTTTTCTGCCAGCCCATCTAAAGCCCTGCGTCCACTGTCCAAGCATGAATAGTTTTACAGAAAGCACATCAGTCTGTGGTCAGAATGCTTTCCTTTGCAGTACTGTACCACATCCTGCTTCCTATCAGACAGTAATCTTACCCTGGTGGAGGGCAGTACGCAGCAGCAGCAGTAGCAGCTCTGAATGTGTGTGCCGGGCTGTAGCTCAGGAGTCTCCTCCTCAGCTCCCTTGCTGCATCCTCAGCCACCTCAGCGCACCCAGCCAACTGAGCCTGAGCAGCGGTGTTCCCCCTCAGGGCCGACCCACTGGCCTCAGAGCAACAGGACGGTAGTGCTGCATGGCTGACAACAAACACACAGAATGATGCACATTGTTCAAGCCGCAAGTAGTAGGGATTTCGTATTAATGAAACATCTTCTTGGGATGTTCCTAAAACATTAAGCATCATCAAAAATTACTTACAATTTAAAATAAATGCAATGAAAACCTCTCCCAGCACGTCTTTGGTAACAGGAAGTAAACAACAGATATACTACTTTTATTGACTTGCACTCAAAAAATGAAGAAATCCATGAAGGTAAGCTGAAAATCAGTGCATCCTCACACTTTACTGAGGACTGCTTACTTTTGCGTTGTTGCAAATCCCGATGATAGCAGTATTCCCACAGCAGATGGCAAGACACAGGTGTCCCAGCAGTACCAGTCAGTATCCAGTCATGCTTAACAAAGCATTACCAGGTACTGCTATCATACAGTGCATCGTTCTCACTTTAATATTTTGTATCTTTAAAAAATATTATCTCGTTTCCGTCCTCCATAGAACAAAGCGTGGATATCGTTTTATTTAAATCATGTAATAAGTAGTTTATTAAAATAGATTGCTGCAGTAGAAAAAGCATAAAGAATGCTGTCTCTTGTAGCTACAAAGGGTAATATTTTTCCCTTGAACAAATTAATGGGGATTTTCTCTGGCAGATGTTTCCTACTGAAGGTTTAAGCGATAACAATCTCGCTCTCTTTTTTTCTAAGTGTAATCACATTATCGAAGGAAATGAAGCCCACCCTTAAAAACTGGTTAGAAAACAACAAAGCCGTTTACATAGATCTTGGTGTGCAGAGAGGAGAAAGGCAGCTCACGATTTTGAATTGGGTGCACGAGCGCACACAAAAGTAGGCACGCGGCGACGGTAAGCACTCACCTACCCAACTATCCTGGTCCATGCGGGAGTGGAGGGGCGAAGTCAATAACGCGGAACTCTTCCGTGATCACTTTAATGTGGACTTTAAGGCTAAAAGTATTTATGAATGAAACCCCACCGCTTAACACACGCCCACCACCCAGTCAGAGGCGCATCACGTGACTAAAGGAGTGAGGTAAAGCCCAAGTGACGGATGTCAGAAATATCCCGAAGCACAGTTTAGTCTCCACAGCTGCGTTAGAGGAGTCAGGGAAGCCT